ACTAGGATGAGAAAAAGTTGGGAAAAAAATCATGGCCTAAGCACAGACCACAGAACAGCTTAATGGCAGAGTTTGGAACAGTTGGAGTTATTCTTTATTCTGATTTTAATGCTAAATACTTAAAACTCATGTATTTTGTTTCAAGTTTCTTGTTGAAACATTTGTAGAGCCATACAGGTTTCTGGCAGGTAACTGATAACTAGATATTGTTGTCTTAAGGAAAACTAAGTAGGGTCAGACTTGGTTAGTACTTGGAAGGGAGATATTCCTTGGCTGTTACATGTAAGCCAGGTAAAAAGTTAAAATCTGATCCCAGTTCAAATGAGACATTGAGCGATTAAAAGAACCCTAATTTAAACATTGTAGTGAAGACTTTCTGCACATACCATAATTGTTACATTATGTCCCCAAATTCTGGATTACAAAAACTTTAAATGTACTATATACCTGGATTGTTGTATAATTTGTATTTTTCAAAAATTCATAATAGCAACAGCAACATAATAAGAAAAGAAACAGCAATAATAAAATCATCCCACAGTTATAAATTTTAAAAAAAGATCCTGAAGGTATGGCAACCATTTCAGTTTAGTTGCCCAGAAAACTACAGGTACTACTAAGAGCTAAGGGTGACTTCATGTTCTACCTTTCTGTGTCCTATAATTTCTCAGAAGTTAAGAGTTTAATGAAAATTACTTGCAAGTAAGTATATATACAGTATAGGATTGTAACATGAGGCCAACATTTATATGATGTGTTTTATCATAGACTTAGTGAGTAAAACCACACTTTTTATAGATTTAATGCATCTTTTTTTAATTCCCTCCCCTCCTCCCAACCCCCTCAATTGCTGGTCTCTTTGGTACTTATGACATATGTAATGCCTTAAAACATATGTACTTAAGCAATTGTTTCCTGAAATACTTAAAATATCTGGATGTTTACATACCCATGATTTTGAATGCATTGTGTTTACTTTCCAGTGGAAAAAAACTGCTTGGCTGAAATGCAAACATCTGGCCTTTCCTGGAAAGATATCAAAAGATAAGAGAAAAAAAGAGTAATATATTTAAAACCAATTGAATACTTTTTTAATACCACTGGAAGTGTAGCTTACTTCTTGTATATTTGTATGTTTCTTGCTGAGAACTGCCATGTCATATTAAGGTTGCTATTGCAAATAGGTAGGACTATATCTTTTCCATCAGCATGTGATGTACTTGCAAAAAGAGTCATCTGAAACAAGGTGGGTGGTGAATGAATGAATGAATGAATGAATGATGGGAGGACCCTTTTGAGAAGGCCATTCTGGGCAGCAAGTTATTATGTCTTGAATAAGAAGCACCTGAGTAGCAATAAACTGATTTTCTATGCTGCTGTATCAAAAAATAAAACAGATTTATAACGAAATTAGTATAATTAGTATAATATAACTTTCTATAATTTTTTTTCATATTCCCATGGCACTTTACAAGCTTTCTAAAAGCTGTATTTGGTCAACCTAGTTATCTAATAATGCTTATGATTTGGATGCTGGTACATTTCAAGGTGATCAATGGGTCCATTGCTAGGCACATTTATTTAAATGCTGGCAACAAATGAAATAATGACTCAACATATTAGTAATATAGGCAGTGCAGGTTGCTTAGAATGGGAGAGTGACTACAGCTTTGGATCAAATTGAACCTGAGCAGCCTCTCCATGCCCATGGTTCCCATAATTCTTCATGATATGTGAAAAGGCTGAGGAAACTAAAAAGACCCAAGAGATGGTAGAGAGCTACTGGGAAAAGACAGGAGTTGAAGATGATTGAACAGCTGCTAGAACTGCTATTAGAGCCTACCTAAGGGGGCAAAATGTAACTGTCTCTCCACAGATAGTGACTCAATGAATGTTTCAGATGACTCGGTTCCACGTTGGAAGAAGTTACACTGAGATAGGGGGAGTGGGGATGTCTCTCTAAAAATATGCTGTCCATCTGGCAAATAAAGTTGCTCATCTTTGGTCAACTTCAGCCTTGAGGCAGAACCAGTGGAGGTTATAGGAGCTAAGGCTCCCATACTTTGAGAGGAGTTTGATCCTGTTGGACCTGAGGAAATGGACAAGCCGTTGCAACTGCTAGCTCGGCCACACCTGTATTAGATCCCTGCTTTTCCTGGCTGGTTAAGGCTGCCTGCATAATTGGGTCTGGTTAGTGATTAATTATTTCTTGAGGGAGAAAGTGGTCTTACTGGTTCTTAAGAAGGCCTTGGTGAACCCTCTCCTCAAGGAACTTTCACTTGACTTAATCAGGACAGTTTTTATCTGATCTCCAACCTTCCCTTTTTAGAGAAAGTGATCACTTGGTAGCTTCAAAAGACCCTGGATGAAGCAAATTATCTGGACTCTTTCAGTCAGGGTTTAAGATGGATTATGGGAAGATAGCAACATTGATTTCATTTTTAGATTAACTCTGTGGGAGCGGACTAGAAGTAGTGCATCCATCCTTGTTCTTTTTGACCTCTCAGCAACCTTTGATAACATCAGTCATCATATCCTTCTGGATCAGTTCTAGGAGTTAGGGATGGGCAGCACTGTATTCCATTGGTTCTCCTTCTTCCTCAACTATTTATTCATGTTAACAGCTGTACATGTTTCTTGCAGTGCTTGTACATAGAATGAAGTAGTTTACACATTTTTCTCTAGTACCATAGCCCATTACCCCATGCTGGTGATAGCAATTTTGATAATTCCAATTTCTTTTCTTGGTCATAGAAAACAGGACTATTTTCTAAATTACCCCATTCTGAAGCCCTGACTGTAGAAGCAAATTTACTGGAAGGAAACGTTTATGAAAATTTCTGTGATTGATGCTTTGTGCCTTTTAAACTGAGAAAGACCCTGAATTTATTTATTTTTTCCCCCACCAGGGGAGAACATTAAAAAAATAAAATTGTCGTGCCATAATCAACCTCCTCTTCCTGTCAGGAGTTGCTAATTCCAGTTCAAGCCAGCCCTAGAAATTCTCCTCACAGGTGATCTATCTGTATATGGGCAAGAGTAGTGCAAAGAACCTTTGAATATTGAATAGTTGTTCATTAGTTTATTTTATCCCTTATTTTTTATAAATAATTTTGTAAATAATTCAAAAAATATATTTTCTAGGTATAGAAAATATACCTAATAATCCTTCCTTCAGTTTCCCCCACAACAACAACACTGTGAGGTGAGTGGTAAACAGATTGGCACATATAACCTTATTGAGTCATAATGACCAATTAGTCTTTTTGGTTTAACCTTTTGAAAGCATTAGGAAAGTTAGCACTCTTTCATCATGAATGCTTTTAGTTTAATGTCCATATTTCCTAAGTCACGTAGATTAATGCATCATTAAAAATCAATAATTATGGTTTTTGCTAGGTCCCAGATTTGTCATCGCATTGCAGTAGAAAATCAAAGTGTAGTTTCACGAAACCAGTAGTATTTCAAAGTGTACAAATTGTTCTGACAAATTAATACCAAATAACAAAATCCCCGTTTTTAGAGTTCCTTTCATGTATTCAGCTCAACATGAAAGGAACAGGAACACATAGCGGAGAAGAAAAGAAATGTAAACCAACAAAAGTCTCTTGGAAAGAAAGCTGGCTTGAGTGGTTTCACTTTGAACAGGACAGGCAGAAGAGTAATCAAACTCCAGTCCAAAGTTCAGAGTCAGGTTTGTCAGCCAGTCAAAGACCAGAGTTCTGCAAGCACCGTTCACAGGAATGCCACACCCCAAAGCAGGAAATCAGACAGTTGCTTCCAATGAAGAAGCATGGCTCCAGGCTGCCTTTTAAACCAAGCTGCAGCCAGCTGTCTTTAATCAAGAGAGCTACTCCTTTACTTGGCAAGGAGCTTCACTGAATATCTTTGATCTATTCACTGGCTACAAGGATTTGGAGGTCTTACCTCATCATCTGACTGCTCCAGCTGTCCTGATGGTGCCTATGTTAGATCAATCTCAAGTGATTCCTGACTTGATATCTCCTGACGCTGACATTCCACTGGGTTAGTTGGAACAGGGGTTTTTTGGGGAGGGGGGAAAATTTGCATCCCGGGCCATGACACTGGGTCTCATCAGGCTCTTGGATCGTCTTGCTTTCAGTCAATCTCTGCTAATGATTGGATCAGAAAAAAAAAATAGGGTAGAGATCAAAAGAGTCCTTGAGCTGGATCTGCAAAAAGACAGATCCAAGGTATGAAATCATTGTTATGAAAGCTTCTGCAGGAACTCTTTCTGGTTTTCCACCATTCTCCACTGATAATCTTGAAGTGCTTTACCTTCAAACATTTTGGAAGGGAGGTTGAGCAGCATGCTATATTTGGAGCACCACTATCCATGCATGGACATGGCTATCAAGACAGGTCTGTCTCTTTTTCTATTCTTCCTTGTAGACATATTTTGCCCTTTGTGCTTTTAATTAATACCTTTACCAAATACACAGAGTAGCCTGAAATGAAATGTGATGCTTTTTATTAGTGGATCAGCCTACTGAGATTTCTATGAAAGTTGCTCAGTTACGATTGTTCAAAGGTATTGCATCTGAATTCACCTTATGTTTAGATACTCTGGGTTTTTTTATGCCATGTGTGAATATTTAACATTTATCGCTAATATCTGGCCCTCTAATTTGCTAATTTTTTATATCATTGTATTGAAAACCCTTATTGCTTCATCTTTGATTGTAAACCATTTATTTAAAAAAAAGCCCAAAAGTCCCTTCCCTTCAATATTAGCCCTCAGTTTTATCCTTTCGTATTGAAGATAATAACCATCCAGACCCAAGTTGTCCAAGCTGACTCTGAGCTCTTTCTGTTGTTCAAAATGGCAGATTATTATAGATTTGAATAAGTTATTTGCTATTTTAGTTGTATGTGTGTATGCAAGTATGTACTTTTATTAGAGGGGAGGGGCAGAAAGCCAGTTTGTTATATAAATATTTCTTCAAAAATGTAATACTTGCTGTACAAATTCATTTTAGGAACATCTTCCATCTGTGTCTGATTTATAATGAGTGCCAAATCTGCTATCAATAAAGAGATTTTTGCACCACATGATGAAAGGATGCTGGGTGCAGTCCAAGTAAAAAGGAGAACGAAGAAAAAGATTCCTTTCCTGGCAACTGGGGGTCAGGGTGAATACTTAACCTACATTTGCTTGTCAGGTATGCTAAATCATTTTGAAATCCAGCTATCCTTTCAGTTTGTTTGTAAAAGTTGATTGATGTTGTCTATAGATAAAAATAATGTGGCATCATGAATTTTAATTAGACAATTAGATGAAAAATCCGAGCATAAACTTTCAGTATTCCTATATTTAAATTATAAAGGGAACGTATGTACAGAGTTAAGTCATGTGATGGAGTTAGTAATATACTTATATAGACTTTCAAATATTTCTCAATATTTGACCATATTCTTCACAAGATCTATTCTTTCAGGCATTAATGTGGCCTGAAAAGCCCTGGGACCACAGTGGTTAAATGTAGTATTGCAAGCAAACTCTGCCCACAGTCTGAAGTTCAAGGGCTCAAGGTTGACTCAGCCTTCCATCCTTCCAAGATTGGTAAAATGAGGATCCAGATTGTTGGGGGGCAATATGCTATAAAGCACTATGAGACGATATTTAAGGCCAAATGTCATTACTAGTGAAAGAATGGACCTGAATTTTTGGTATTGCATTAAGAAATTTCTGTATGTATATTTCCTATGTTCTTAAAGGAGACATTATCATACATATTTTTAGATCAACCAAGAATTTTGGGTGCCCAAATAGACAAAAAAATTGAGTTCATCTTATCTGCATGTATAGACGGCACAGGTATTTCTCAACCTACGACCGTAATTGAACCCAAAATTTTGGTCATAAGTCACGATGGTAATAAAGCGGGTCATCATGTGACTGGACAGGCATCTCTTTTGTGGCAGTTGTTAAACAAATGCCATTAAGCGAACCCATTGTTTGCTATGGCACATGTTTTGCTGGAAACTGGAAGTAAGGAGCAGTTTTTGGCAAAAATTGTTTTGTAGATTGTGATCATGTGAACCACAGGGCACTGCAAACGCATCAAAAGGAATTGAGTTTGTAGATTGTATACTAGGCAAATGCAAAGGACTCAATGCAGTGTGCTGTTGAGATTTCCAAATTATAAATGGTAAATTCCAACATTGTATTGTTGTTTGTGTGTGTGTTAGTCCACAACCTTTAAGCAACCAAACAATTACAGTATGTTCCAGAGTATATTTAAATACATAGAATACTCTATTGCATTGGTTTTGTTGGCTTGTTGAGCTTTAGTGTGTATGTATTGTGCATGGTTTCTACATGGTCTTGTTTCTTGTTGATAACTGGCCTTTTCTCTTTGCAAGTTAAGAATAGATGGCAATAGATGAAATTATCACTTCTCCAACGCGCAGCTTGGAGAATCCAAAGCTTCGGGATGAAGGGGTTGTTCAGTAGTTGATAGCCTACACTGAGTGTGTTCCTTTAAGAGATTTCTCTTCAGACACGCCCACTTGCTCAACAGAGTCCCAGTTTAGTTCACTCAGTTGAGCCTGTGACACTGTCTGAAAATCTCTCTGATTACTATCTGAACTGTTCCAGAAACTTTGGATTCTCCAACTCCAGTCCTTTTCCCTTCTATATTGCCGGTGGTGAGTCTGCCTGCTGCTTCAGGCAAGCTGTCAGTATCTTCCCATCTCCCTGACGCTTGCCCTATTGACTGCCCTCCTCAAACTGCCGCCCTCACCGTCTGGACTAAACTTCACCTTGGCGGCTGGAGATTGACGCCCTATGCTCAGCGGCGTCTCTCTCCCTCTCCCTTAATCGTCCTGAGGGCTTCCTGGCGTTTGGATCACTTCTGAGTGATCGCACGCCGTCGCCATCGCAGGGATCGCTGCAGCCTCCTCCCCCACGGTCGCCTCATCGCCGGAGCGATCCTCGAGCGCCGGAGCGCCCCAAGTGCGCCCCTTCATCGCCGGAGCGCTCTCGTATCAATCCAGACAGCCGGGGAAGCGCTTCTGAGCCTTCGGCTGTTTCTCCCTCGGCTTGCAACCTTTCTAAGGGCTCTAGGCGTCGTCGCTTGGACTGCCTTTCAAAGCGCGCGCCTTTTACTCCTATTCGCCTCAGCGCTGGGAGCTGCGATCAGCGCAGCTCGCGCCCCTTGGCCTCCCTCCTCCCCCCACAAGGACTCCCCCCGGACGCTGGGTCTTTGCTCTGGGCTCAATTTATCGCCGTTCTGGTTTTCAAAGGGGAACAGCCCCCCCCCATTCCTTCTGTCGCCCTCGCTCTGCAAGCCCTGCTCGGCGCCATTTCTTTGCCTGAAAAGAGAAGATTCTAACGGCTGTCAAATTCTGCCTGGTGACAGCCTCACGCAGGCGCAGTGAGTCGCAGAGGCCGATCTTCTGATTACAAGCATTGGGGGACCTACCTAGCCTGTCTCTTTGGAGCAATCGGCTAGTTGCACGGCTTCCATACCCCCACCCCCCACCCCAATTCCTCCCCCCTGCCTCTACTCCTAAAACAAAAAGAAAAAAGACTTACCTGCTAGCCTTGGGCTCTCTTCATTTACTCCGTAGTTCTTCAACTGTTTCCTGTTAAAAAAAAAAAAAAAAAAAAAGACTAATAATCAACACCTATTCCTCTGTATCCATCTATATAACCACATAAATTAAATACTTACTGAATCTTCATCTTCCTCCTTTCAAAAAAAAGAAAAAAAAAGAAAAAAAAAGAAAGAAAGGAAACAAAGGTTACAACATGGCTGAACGTGCTCTCTCATCTGATCTGGAGGACAACAGCTCTCCCGAGCGCATTCACGACCAGGCCAAGCAACGTAAACGGTCCCGTAAACGCGCTTCACATTCATCTTCATCGGCTGCTCCACGCTCTAAAAAGACAAAACACTCATCAGCTGCAGACAAGGACGCCTCCAGGAGACACAAGGCTCTGGAGCGCCAGTTCGAGAAAGCGCGCAACCAGTCAGCACAAGCGGCTTTCGCACACTTACCTACGCCACTCTCGCCCATTGTCGAAGCTACGGTCCAGCCCGTCCATCAGGCTCCTCAACAGCCTTTGCAACCGTTGTTTCCATCGCCAATCATGGAAGTTTTCCCTGAGGCGTTATCGACTCACTGCATGGAGCCGGTGGACCTCTCGTGCACTGCCACTCTCCCTCGACGGTCTCAGCCGGAGGCAACCTTTACTCCCACGGCGGCAGGCTTGCGCGCCACGGAGGCAGCTCCTCCACCTTCTCAGTATGATATTCAGCGGATCATCTCTGACACGGTTACCAGGACACTGGTAGCGACTTCTCAACAGGCTGCACCATATGGAGCCTGGCCTCAGCCACGTTTTCCTCCTCCTCCTCTGGCCCGGGACCCTCAACAGGTCCCTACCCAGTATCAGGCTATGACGCATGGGTCCGAGCTGTATCTGGACCATGGTCACCACGAGGAGTCGTCTTCGGAGGAGGGAGAGTGCGACCCGTCGGATATGGACTTATCTGATGATGCAGATATGCCACCCGAAAAGCCAGCCTTCTCTGGGCTCTTTAGACCCTCGTTATTCAAATCGCTCCTGCGCAAGGCCAAGTTGGCCACAAATATGGCTGACCCAGTCTCTCAAGTTGATCAGCCCGGTACCTCTCAACAACATGAGGCCTTGTTTACGGCGCCTAAGGCGCAAGCGGACTTTATTCCGTGTCCACAGCTATTTTCTGAGGTGGTCCAACGATCCTGGTCCACGCCTTCCTCCTTGCCCGCTCCTTCGGGGCTAGACAAAAAACTTTATTGTTCGGCGCCTAGTCTCCAAGATCTCCTTCAGTTACCAACTGTTGACGCGCCAGTGGCCAATCTGACGGCTTCCTCTGTAATCTCCAACGACGTCGCCGACGGTTTGCGCTCAGAGGACCGAAAAGCTGAGTTTAACTTCCGACGTACGCACAATGCGGCCGCATGGGCGGTTAGGGCAGCCACCTCTGCTTCTTTCTTCAGCCGTGCCTGCCTAATTTGGCTCCGTCAACTCCACGAGCGCCTTCCCCCTGCGGATTCACGCCTCCGCCAAGATGTCAACAAACTGGTGGCGGCTACCGAATATACAGCAGACGCCTCGCTCAACGCCGCGAAGTTTGCTTCGCGCGCCCTGGTGTCGTCCGTCACATCTCGCCGTTTATTATGGCTTAAAAATTGGAGAGCTGATGCCAAGTCTAGGTGGCGCCTCGCTTCAACTCCATATAAGGGGTCCCGTCTTTTTGGAGAAGCCTTAGACCCCATCCTTGTCGAGGACAAGGATAAACGGAAGGTGATGCCATCATCGTATAAGAGGGCAGATCGTAGACCTTCGTCCTACTTCACCAGGCAGCCCTTTCGGAACGACTCCGGTCCCTTGGGATCCTTCTCCTCAAGGCCCTATTCTCAAGGTTTCGACCGTTCCCTTGATAGATCATCCTTCAGGGACCGTGGTCGGAAGGCCCCAGCACCCAAACGACCATTTCGAGGTACGGGATCCCGTACCTTTCGAAGAGGGAAGTGACTACATCCATCTTCCCATTGGCGGCCGTCTGGCTCATTTTCTTCCCCAGTGGGAGATCTCGACGTCGGACGCCTGGGTGCTCCAGACAATTCGTCTGGGACTTACTCTGGAGTTTCGTTCAAGACCTCCCTCTCACTTCGTACAATGCCCTATTTCCCCCAACTTGGACAAGCGCCAGCTAATGGAGGCAGAGATCCATCACCTGCTTCAAATTCAAGCCATCGAACCGGTTCCCCACCATCATCGCGGGACCGGCTTCTATTCAATTTTCTTCCTGGTCCCCAAGGCGTCCGGGGGCCACAGGGGCATCTTGGACCTCAAGAAGCTGAACGAATTTATAGTATACCATCAGTTCAAGATGGAGTCCCTCCGTTCGATTCTGGCTTCCATTCGACCAGCGGACTGGATGACCTCTATCGATCTGAAAGAAGCATACCTCCACGTACCTGTACGGCTATCCCATCGTCGTTTTCTACGCTTCGCCTACAACAACAGGCATTACCAATACAGAGCAATGCCCTTTGGCCTCTCCTCCGCCCCAAGGACCTTTACAAAGCTCCTGGCAGCAGTGGCGGCCCATCTACGTCAACATCCGGTCCGCCTCCACTGCTACTTGGACGATATCCTAGTGCT